CTTTTAGGGTTATTGTGCCCTTTCTCAGTTCTTCTCTGCCTTTTAGGGATTTGGTGCTTTGCTCTGTCCACAGCAACTTAGTTTTGGTTTTTCACAGTGGCATGGATTGGTCTAGGAAGTTAGGACTCTAAGCCAAGAGATGTTTAATCTGTAGGGGTGGTTTGTATCCAAGAATGTACAACCTTTTCATATAACTAAGTCTAGAGCTATTGTCCACAACCCTGGGTCCATGCTGCATCCAACAGAGAATGCAGACCTTCCTGGCACCCATTTCAGGCAAAATCCTTTGGTGAAAACCAAAGACTTTTCCCTGGAGGCCAACCAGGTGGACATAGGCATGGATGGGGCTGATGTGGCTTCGTGGCAACAAGATGACCATGTCCCAGACTCTGCATCTTCTTAGCTTCATGGCAGAAAATATCTGCTGAGCTGGTGTTGGTGACCAATGGGGTGTCTCTTTGTGTCCTTCCCACCCTTAGGAGTTTTACCTCAGAGTGCTGCTCTGATAACAAAAGTAAATCTATTTTTAAGTATTAATTAAAGCTATATATTTTATGTTTACTCAGATTCTTTACTATCTGAGGCCATTTAACAGTCTTACAGAATAGAAAATTTTTTCTTGGTGTCTGAAAACTAGCGAAAGTCCAAAGAGTCATCTTAACAGATGGTCTTATTCCTTTCTTACTCAGCCTTTTGAGCTAACACATGGATAGACTCATTTTCCTTCTTCTGATGATAGATTTTTATCAGGGACTGGGTTGCTCCATCCATCCAAGGAGCTTGGGTCTATGGATATGGATACTTTTATGTGACATCTTTTTTCAGCCAACATTTCTTGAGAACACTCACATTTCGCATTATCACTTCTACGTACTTCCAGTAAGGAATCATCTCTTCCTCTGCCCACTCTTTCAGATCACTTTCTTCCACTTTCTTAGGACTTTTGGAAGGGAAACTTCCCCTTTCCCATGGGAATAAGTAAGTGACCAAGTTTTGAAACAGATGACCACCTTAATAGTAATATAGGTGCCACCCTGTAGCTCTCTTATCCATGCTGTCCATTTTTGTGCAGTAAGAAGATCACATATGTCTCATTCTGGCTCACCTAGCCAGGTCTCTGTTCCCTTTTCCAGCTCCTCTTCCTCTCATTGGTTCAGTGAAACAGGTTTGTGTGGCCAGGAGTCCAGATTCATGGATAGAGATAGGAGGTGGTAGGACAGAGGTGATGGCATACTTCCTCCTTCTCTCAAAACAAACTAGACCCTGGGTTGGCATTCTGTCTTGTTTGCCCTGGAAATCTGATAAGGTTAGTGTCAGCTGTGTTACAACATTCCTTAGGTTGGAAGTAACCCCTGACTGGTGGGTGCTTCACTGTGAATATCTGGTGGGAGTCTGTAGCTTTAGGCTTCCCAGAGTACAGTGACACTTGTAACTGTGCATGACTCTTGTGGGGAAACTATGTCAAGGGGGACCCTGCACCCCTCGTTGTGGATCTCCTCTCCTTCTTTCTAAGCTATTATGTTGGGGCTGAGAGACTAGCCCTACACTAGGATATGGAATGCAGCAAGGACCCACCTGCAGAGAGGGTAAGCTGGACCTGCCTTGTGGAGGCTGTGGTTCCTGTCCTAAATTCCTCTAAGTGAGTCTAGTGCTAGCTGTGCTGTCTGGTAGTTCTGTGAGTCTAAATGCCTAGTTGAGGCTAAAAATAAATATACCCCTAGAGACACTGCAGGCTCCACCTGATTGCCTCTTTCAGAAAGTCCCTAAAAGGCTGATACTTTACAACCACTTATGCAGTACTGGGTGCTTTCCCTCAACTGGCCAGAACACTACAGAAGAGAAGTGACCAGTACCTGAACTTCACCCTTAAAACCACCATCATCACCACTGATTATCATCACCATCATCAAAATCACCATCATTTCAACCACCACAAGAATTTGTGCATTTCAACTACTATCCATTACCTTCCACTCTCTTGTTTAGGTCACATATTACTCTCTTTCTGATTTTGTCTCCTAGCATTTTCTTCTATGGACAACCTATCTTAGAAAAAAAATGCTGAACTGAGAGTCCTCCTCTGCTGCCTGAGTCAGCCTAAGACAAATCCTTCAGTATAAGTTTCACCATCTGAAAAATGGAAAAAAAGTTACCGGCCCTGGGAAAATGCACTCAAATGGAATTAGCTCCTGTTATAATCAACAAAATGATAGAACAGTCTAAACTCTTTAAAGGTGAGCTAGTCTAAATATAAATATATCTGACCACTTTTGGACAGCACCAAAAGCAATTACAGTTCCTATGCATCCCCCTCTTGTCCGATGGCTGTCTCCAAGCAGTCACTGGCTTGTCAGAGCAGAATGGATAGATCATGGTGTGGCTTTGCACTCTGGGAAATTATATTCCTAAAAGCTTAGAACGAATGAAAGCAATATTAAAACTCTCAATATTTAGCTTGTTGTGCTGCTTCCAGAAATCGGGTGACTGATGTATGTATGTACATAAGAGAGAGAATTTCAGAGATAGAAGTGGGCTGGGGGGAGGCAGATGGAGAGGAGCCAAGAAAGAGGCAGAGGACATGACGGTTCTGTGGAGGCCTACTCAGTGGGAGACACTATGACAGGAGAAACCAGAGTGCCAGGAAGTCCCAAGCAGGAAGGGGTGCTGGGTGCTGGGTGGCTCAGAGCCACAAGGAGCAGGACTGTTTGTGATGGCTCTTCCTACACCTGGGTCCAGGTGCACTCAAAGTCGGAGGTGGCATCTGCAGATGTCCCATAAGAGATACTGAAGACTCCTGCTGTCTGATGCAAGACGATAATGGAAAGAGCACTGGACCACTAATCAAGAGATCTTGCTTCAAATCACAGCTGAGCAATCTTGAGCATATCACTTCCCTTCTCTGGGCCCCACTTCTCTCAACTTCAAAGCAGGAGTTGTACAGGTTGATCACATGTTCTCTTCTATGTTCACGTCTCTTGGTCTTCAAGTCTGTGGTCCCCTGAATGGCAGGTGGTATCTATGCTCCTCTTTGACTCCCATGCTCCCTCCAGGGGAGGAGCAGTATGCTTCCATGGCCCACCCCCAACCCCCCACCTCTGATCTTGGGTTCGTTGATGACTTGCATTGGACCATGGGTTGTGGGCAGAAGACACAGTGTGCCAGTCCTCTTGTGCTTCTGCACCTGCCTAGAAGAGCACACTCAGCAGTCCCTACCTCTCCAGCCTGGGCCCCAGCATGAAGAGACACTCAGAGCAGGCTGGAACCCAATGCACAGTCAGAAGCTAAGCCGCGCCAAGCCCAGCTGAGCCACAGGCACCATGCAGACCCATGAATGGGAAATCAATGCTTGTTGTTGTGAGGCACTGCAATTCTGGAGTTGCTTGTTACCATAGCCAAAGCTGACTAATACACCACGTGTTGGGCAAGCATGTCTCACAGAAGCTCACATCAGGGACCAGTCAAAAGCCTGCCTGAAGGAGAATGAAGGGCAGCTGGAGAAGCTCCTACAGGCTCTCCACTGCTGCCCCCCTCATGCCAGAGCCATACACCTCCATATGGAGACACCCCTGGCTTCTGGCAGCAACAACCCACGACTCAGCAGGGTGGGAAGGGATTTCGGTGGAGGGGGAACTAAATTAAAATGCTCAAAGTCAAATTCCTCCTTATTCACAGTCCTCTCTCTTCCACAGTCCTCCAAAACTGGGCAGTCTGTTTCTTTCACTGTCTAGGTGCCATAAAAGGCCGCCTTAAAAAAGGCTCTGGAACTTAGGGTTGATGTATTGGTTTAGTGAGCAGGGAGAGGCAGCAAAAAGCTTAGACAAGTATCCAAGCACAAGCATCACTAGTCTCTGGCTGCTGTAATCAGCATGCAAGTCTCCAGGCCTCTCTGATTCCTAATTTAAAGAACTCCAAAGAAATCCACATAGCATCCTCCTAGCCAAATCCTAGCTAATAGATGTTTTCTTGCCAAACAGAGCAGTGTAGCATAATTGATATAATATACAAAGTAAAGCACAGAGAAGACCACTGTGGAACTTAAGTGCTGTCAGCATCATGGCCTAGGGGACAACCTGAGAGTTCCAAGTAGGATGTATGACTAGGGCTTAACCATGCTTCATGTCATTCAGAGAAAACCAGGACCTCAGTCATTTGAATGAAGACTCCATAGTTGAAAACCGTAAGCATTTTGGGGGGAAAACAGAAAGACTCGGCCCTCCACCAACCAACCTAACATACTAGAAGAGGAAGGAACATAGATATGGGGATGGTGTGAAGGAACAGGCAGGAATTAGAGTGGTGGGTTTCCAACTTTTTTCTGAAACATCGAAGACTTTAAAACAAAGTCTTACCTAGAAGGGAAACATATGTAAATGGATAAAAGTGTAAAAACTAAGGGTGAAGCAAGGGTGAAGATTCAGAGCCTCTCTGTGTTGCATTCCACTGCCCACTCCCAAAACTGGTTTCCTTGAAGCTGTGAGTGGAACACCAGGACTACATACAGTTTGAAAAACACTAGACTAGAGAAATCTTGGGTATTGTGATAGGCTCATGGAAAGCTGAGAAGGGGGGCAAGGGGCAGGTATCATCATGGCTGTTTCTGGGCATTTTTCTGTGAAGAGGATGGAATTAAATGTATAATCATCCCTTGTTATGGCTTGGCAGCCATGGAGTACGCAACAGAGAAGAGGGCTTGCACATCCTGTCTGAGGCAGATAGTCTGACCAACTGACCTCTCTCAAGTCTTCTTAGAGGCGAGCCTCCTTATCCTTATCTTCAACTAGGCAAGAACAGATTTGCTCAGGAAAGATTTAGACCTTCCTTCTCTGGCCTACTTCCTCCCCCAACCCATCTACCCCTCAAGTCTAAGATGTTGGCTCCTCCTGAGCTTGCAAGTCTCAAGCCTGGTGCTTTGGCCTTTAAGAGGGAGGGATCCTGAGAGATTGGTCTAACTCACCGCCACGTGGCTCTCCACTTCCCATAGAGACAAGCCCCAGACCCACCTATGCACACCACGTCCATGAATCCATACATCCCATAGCAGATCTGGAAGAGGAGGTCTTGGCGCTGCCATTTTGCCGAGGGACTGAAGGTCGACCAGATGAGCCAAGAGATACTGGCAATGAGGAAGAGGGAACCCAAGATGGCGGCTGCAATCTGCACCTTCTCAATGACTGTCAGAGAGATGGCCTGCCACTGCAAAGAAGAGAAGAGCGGGTTAGCTGTTGCTGGGACACCCTTACTCCATTTCCATTCCATCCCCATGCTTCTTGCTTCTGCTGCCTCGACCTCTCACCTCTGGTTCAGGATTTAATACAAGGCTTTTTAATTTGTAACACAATGGCTGTTTTTACAAGTTTCTGAGTTTTATACTGCACTTTTAATATGGAGGAAACCTATAGCACACCAAATGATCAGAAATTATTGTAGGGAGTGAGTTCTGGGCAGCCATCACAGAGAAGGAAGGCCTATATAACTGATTATGATACAGACAGAGAAATGGGAAGCAGAAAGTAAAAATGCAAAGCCAGTGTGGGTGGTATTCTAGGGCCCAGAATATTCTTTCCGGAGCAACATTGTTTATTTTCACACTAATAGGTGCTTTTCACACTAATAGGACACAGGCCTTTCTTTTGCTTATTTTCTACAACAACACCTGGCGTGTCATTTAATATAAGTGCTAGGGATTACCAATTTAACAGACAAGCCGAAGACATGGGATGTGGGGGAGAGATAAGAAAAACAGTATAATTTACTGACTATATATAAACACTGAGATTTCATTTTTTTAACAGAAAAAGCACCATGCTAATAGCAGTATTGATGGATGGATTGAAAACTGGGGTGTGGGTGGGCTTCAACTCTGAAATTCTGTGATTCTATGGCTGGCCTAGGTAGCACAGGCGTAAGTGGACCTGGAGTTGGATTTTAGTTTGGGATTTATTCATGCTCTCACTCAACAAATATGCACTCTGCTAGGTGCTGGAGATAAAGCAGTAAGCAAAAACACGTAAGATTTCCATCCTCGTGGAATTTAAAGTCTAGAGAACACAGATGATCAAATAAATTTATTTACAGCTGCAATTTATCAGGCATAAGAGAAGAAGGTACACGGAACTGTGAGAGCCTTTGATGGGGGATTTGACTTGTCAGAAGAAGCAATGCTTGAGTTGGTGGGAGTTTAGGCAAAGGGAGGAGGGAAGAGTGCTCTAGGCACAGGAGAAGGCATGTGCAAAGGTCCTGTGGCAGAAAAAGCATAGTGAACATGAAAACCTGGAAGAAGGCCAGAGTGGGTGGAACAGAGAAAGCAAAAGGGAGTGTGGGGTGAGACAGCTGGGAAAATAAGAGAAGATCATGTGGAATCTTGAAGAATATGCACAGAATTTTGGCTTTGTCCTAAGAGTAAACATGCTGCTATTGAACACTTTTAACCAGGGAAGTGACAGGATCAGATGTGGGAAGGTAGAGGGCGGGACAGTCTTCTGATTGTAAGGATTTGTGTAAAGCCCTGCAGAGGACACCCCCAGCCGGCTTTTCAGCCTGAACGCCCCAGGAAAAGCAGACAACCTTCCATCAGCCAGTAGTGAGTCCTCGCTATGCATTAAATGGCCTGGATGGAAGCACTGATTCTGGCTCAGGAGGACTGACCAGTGGCCCCGAAGGAATTGTAACCATTGGAATACATTTCACTTGCTAGTCTAGATGTAGGACATCAGCCTTTACATTTAATTGTGTAGATAGCATTCCATTACAGGTAATTGGGCCTTTAAATTTTCCACTGCTTCCCCTAGCCTAGGGTTACACAAAACAAGGGAGTTTTCCAGAAGATGGCCTGATCCTACAGACTCCTCTCAAACCCTCTACCACAAATGTTTTTTCCAGTGCCTGCCTCTCTGTGAAGAGGGTCCTTAACTGGGCTTTTTGTTTTGACCACTGGGTCATCATCAACCTTCACTTTCTCCTGCTCCAGACTTTAAAACCCCCCAAATGTAGTGGCGGAGAAAGGTCCCCTTAATCCCAAGAGTCACCCTAACCCCTGATCCCCCAAGCTGGCTGTAGAATGTAAGCAGGGCCCCTGACTACTGTTTGAAACATGATGCACAAGGAACAGGGTGGGGTGCTGTGGCTGGGCTCTTCTGTCTGTCCCATGTGAGCCCCCACGAGAGGTGTGGGGAACAGAGCAGCAAAGAGCGAGCAGAGAACAAGAGAGCTCTGAACTCTCAAAGGGAAAGTTGGTGAGGGGAGAAGGGTTCCAAACGAGGTTCTGATCATGGGGTCAGGAGACCCTCCCCGTCCTGGCCTCCTGTGCCACAGCACCAGTGAACGGAAGAGCCTGAGGACTGGATGTTTCCTTTCGCACCAGGAAGGGTCCCTGAGCAAGGAGTCGGGACCCGGTTCTGGCAGAGCTCTGCCCCAGCCTGTGCAGTGTGGCCTCACAGAAGTCAGTAAGTCACGAGGACTGTCAGTTTTCCCTTTCATAAAAAATGGAAATAATTGGTCCTGCCCATGTCCTAGAGTATTGTGAGGGCTGAGTGAAATAGCTCTTCAATCAGAGCTTTGAACGGGACGAGCTGCCATCATCTCCACTCTTCATTATGTTTCAGCAAAAACACAGTGATGCACGTCAAGGTGGGGGACTCCTAAACGCACCCAGCCAAGTCTTCGCCTGCACACTGGAGGTGAGAGGAGCCAGACCCCTGTATGCAAGCCTGCCCCATCAGGGCAACCCTGGGTAAATTGTGCCTCCACTGTTTCATCTGTAAATTGGGAATAACAATGCCCACTGCACTGGGTTGGTTTCAGTTTTAAATGAGATAATATGTGTGAATACTTAGTGTGACTGCCCCCCCTCCCGCCCCACAAGCACTAACTAAACATTTATTAATGTAACTGCAGTTCAGGTGGCTCCCTCAGTTAAGCACCGACCCTTGATCTTGGCTCAGGTCACGGTCTCATGGTTCATGAGATCAAGCCTCGTGTCAGGCTCTATGCTGAGAGTGTGGAGCCTGCTTGGGATTCTCTCTCTCTCTCTCTCTCTCTCTCTCTCTCTCCCTCTCTGCCCCTTCCCTGCTTATGCTCTGTCTCTCTCTCTCTAAATAAATAAATAAACTTTAAAAAAAATGTTTAAAATTTTAAAAATATATAACTGCAGTTCAGTTGTAGCAGAGAGGGCCTGGGTACCACCCTAAAAATCCTTTCTCAGTGCTGCTTCTGCCACAAACAGAATCTTGCAGAGTATCTCTGGGATAATGTGCCGTCACAACCACTGTCTCTCACAACTTTGGATGGGGCATGGACCGTGAGGTGCGTACCCCGAGACCTGGGAGAAATCTCCCCACTCTGACCGCAGAGGTATCCTGCCTGCTCCGTCCTGTCCTGCAGGTGGCTCAGCTGGGCTGTGGGAGCAGAAGTCAGCCCCACTGTGGCTGTCTCACTCCTGGCTGGATCCGAGAAGCCCAGGGACACAAGCGGGACAATCTGGGCCACAGCCACACAACACCGCCGCTAGGCCAAACTACTTCCTCTTTCTGGTGCAATCTGGGAAAGTGCAGTGGCATTTACTGAGCACACACCATGTATTTCCAGGAGCAACAGAATCCAAGGGAGTCAGTCCCCAGTGTTCAGAAACTCACAGTTAAAGACATTAGTAACTTAAATTAATACATCAGTATCGTCAATGCTGCCATTTGCTCACCATACTTAAAAAGATTAGAATAACCTTCTCTTTCTTTCTTTTTTCTTCCCAGGAAAAAATTATCCCTAAATGGTTTTTCATTCTATGAGTCAAGCTCCCATGCCTGTTTATGAGCCAAGGGGACACTTTGGGGTAGTCCCATGGATCTGGACTCTGACCCTTTTCTAAGGCTTGAGTGAGCTGAGAAGGAAGAAGAGAGTTAATACACCCCAGAGGGCATGGAATCAGCAGTCTCATGACACTGCTATTTTAAGACACTTCAAGATTTGAAATGAATGATTAAAGATGGAACCAGCACAGCGAGAGGCATCTCTTATTCTGACCCCTCCATATACCATCAGGATGGCTGAGGTGCCTGGGAGTCTTAGGGCCTCCTTCCAGAAACGATGCCCCCTGCTGGCCCACATGCATGCAGTACCTCACACGCACGCACGCACGCACACACACACACGCACGCACACACGCACGCACGCACACACACTCATTCCTGACAGTGCCTCATGTACGACTACATTGTGTTTAAAATAAAACGCGCCAGACAGTGCAGCTCCAGGTTGCTGGCTCACCCTCCCTGCAAAGACCCCACCCCCACAGTCACCCCGAACCACCGCCCTCCTGGGCTCGCAGAATCGACTCTGCCCCCTCCCCCAGAGAAAGGAGAAAGGAAACAGCTAGGTCGGGCCCCTGAAGCTCCCTTCCTCACCGGCATGCTGGCTGATTGTGTGGCAGCTTCATTGGCTGACCATGCGCATGTAGAGGTATTTCCAGAAGCAAAGTGCTCTCTGTGCGTGTGGGTGCGCCTCGCAGGGACCGCTGTTGGGTTTGGAGGATTTTCGAGGCAGGGCAGGGCCCGCCAGCAGCTCCGGACAGGGCAGGCGGATGGGAGACAACAGGGTGCGGGTGCGGCCCTGTCCGAATCCCTGCGGCGGGCCCCGCCCT